TTGTCAGTTTGGCTATATCTGGAATGAACTACCATCCAGAAGGAGAGGGCACACCTGTGATCTGGATCTTGAGGCTGGAAGACACAGGCTTTTGATCTGGATCTTGAGGCGGGATGACACACACCTTTGATTCAGATCTTGAGGCAGGAAGGCACACCTTTGTTTTGGGCCACACCTTCTGCTGGAAGCCTATATAAGGACAATGGAAGAAGGAAGCTCTTGTTCTTTGCCTGCTCACCCTTGCCTTGCCCGCACATCCAGCCCTTCACTGGCATTGGAGCCTACTTCTTCAGGATTCCAGCTTACACAGAAGACCAGCTGAGACACTCAGCCTTGTGGAACTGAGCAAATACTAGACTTCCCATTCACAGCTAGCCATTGTTGGGTTAGTTGGACTGCAGCCTGTAAGTCTTTCCAATACTTTCCACATATATATTTATATATATATTTACACACACACACACACACACCCCTGACTAATACAGATGGAGAGAGTATAAAAATGAGAGTGCTTCATTGCCAGGGACAAAGAGAAGGGCTTCAGAGGAAAACAGCAGACAGATGCCACAGAGGCAGGAAACAGACGGCAGAAGGAAGATGGACCAGGCCGGGCAGTTGTGGTGGGCTCTGCACGGCGCGGGTAGAAGACTGGGTGCACATGAATGGCATCACATTCTGAGAAGTTGAGGTTTCAAGTCTTTCTGATTGCAAATACGTGGACAGGCTAGGGCAACCAGACACAAGAACCAGCCCGGAGGAAAAGGCGTGCATCTCATTCAGCAAGTCGACTTAGCGTCATTCAAAGAGACAAAGAGACATTTGAGTCACGGGATTGTAGATGTGGGCTTAAGACAGTGTGGAAAGATTATGAAACATCCCGAAGGGCGTGGGAGTGATGAGCCAGTGAGAAACTTCGGTGAGAAATGGGAAGATGGGGGCCAAAGTCGACAGTCCCAGGGATAGAGGAGGTGGGGAGCTGGCTCAGCAGGTAAAGTACTTGCTGTGGAAGTAGGAGGGAGAACCTGGCTTTATAATGTAGCTGAAGATAGCCTAGAGCTTCCTGTCCGCCTGCCCCTGTATCCTGAGTGCTGGGATTACAGATGTGCGTTATCACACCTGGTTTTATGCAGTGATGTGGATGGAGCCCCAGGGCTTCCTATATGATAGGCAAGCACTCTTTTTTTTTTTTTTTTTTTTTTTTTGGTTTTTTGAGACAGGGTTTCTCTGTGTAGTTTTGGTGCCTGTCCTGGATCTTGCTCTGTAGCCCAGGCAAGCCTCGAACTCACAGAGATCTGCCTGGCTCTGCCTCCCAAGTGCTGGGATTACAGGCATGCACCACCACCGCCCGGCCCCCAGGCAGGCACTTATCAACTGAGCTACATATGTGGCCCCAAATGTGTTTATGATGACTGTTTGTGACATTTGACCATTAGATTGTCCTTCACTTGTCCCCTGAGGTCCCTTTTCACAGTTTTTTTTCTTCCTGTGATTCTTTTGTGGTTCTTCTTCAGATCACACTCAACTGAATCCCTTTTCCTTCATATGCCTTATCTACCTAAGGATTTGACCTCAGAAGGTATGACAGACCGTTTTCTCCCCACTCATGACTTTGGTGTCTTAATTAGTGCCTTACTGTAGACATTTGGGACAGTGCTGTCCCCCACAACCTTCTGGGATATTGTGAAGAATGAGTACTAAGACCAGGCTGGCTTCAAACTCTTGGCTATCCACTTGTCTCTGCCTCCCAAGCTCTTGGATTAAGGGCCTGTGCCACCACGCTCTGGCTTCTTAGAAATTCTTAATATTTCTAGTATTGTTTTATCCCATACCTGTAAGTTATTCTAATGAATGCAGTTTGTTCCTGTGTCATCCTAGACGATGTTTGTTTTTTTTTTTTTTGAGTCAGGTTATCTCAAGTTCTTAAAAACAGCCCTGGCTGTTCTGGAACTTACTACTCAACTGTGTAGACCAAGCTGGCCTTGAACTCACAGAAACCCACCTTCCTCTGCCTTCCGAGTGTCACCTTATCTGCCAGGGTTTTATTTTATAAGCCCTCTGAGCTTCATGTGCAGCAGTAATAAGCCTTTGTATGTTTCTTATAAGGATTAGAGTCCATGCATGCACAACGTGGAGGGTGATGGCTGGGGTAGGACTGACATCGGATAAATAGTTACCCCAGGAAATTATGGATGAGTGGGTTTTGCCTTTGTTTCATCTGCTAGTTTTGTACTGTTTCACTAACAACTAATTTTGTTTTGAGAAGAGGATGGTTGTGATAGCCGTATGGAATGCTACAGACAAAAGCCCAGTAGATAGATTGAGATACTTGCTTCCCATCATTAATCCAGATCAGGAAGGAATATGGGAAAACCTCTTGCTGATGATGAGTAAGTAGGTAGGGACAGAAGCAGGATTAGACTGTGGCCTGTGAGCTACCCCCGCACCCCCCCCCCCCCCATGGTTTTCTCAGCCAGCCTGCATCTTCATCTTGCATTTACTCAAGCTCTACAGTGGTATTCAAAAATCTTTTCTGATAGTTAGATCTCAGATTGGCATTCACTGGGCCATTTACTCCCTTGGGTTTTCAGAACCTTCCCTGAAAAATGTCATAACTCCAAATGTTAATTTAAAAACGTCATCCTGCTGTGAAAATGAAGTCTGGAACTTTTTTAAAAATCTGGGCAAGTGGAAATACCTGACCCAGTTTCTGATTTCCCTATCGTTTGAGATTCAGCTATCGAAGTCAATTTATCCCTTGGTGTGGAAGCTCTCCGGAAAGTAAAGTTACTAGAACGAAGGGGAGACAGAGTTTCTGAAATACTTTAGACCGTTTAAGCAGAAGTTTTGCAGAACCCCAGCTGTTAGCCCCTGCAGTGTCTGGAAGAAGTTAGTGTAAATTGCTGATAATTTAAGAGTGACGACATAATGACAACCATGTTTAAAAAAGACTCATTTTTATTTTTAATTATGCCTGTGTTCCCCTCCCCTCCCCTCCCCTCCCCTCCCCTCCCCTCCCCTCCCCTCCCCTCGAACTCACAGAGATCTACCTGGCTCTGCCTCCTGAGTGCTAGCATTAACAGCTTACGCCACCACCACGTGGCCCTTTTTCTCTTCTTAAAAAGAGGTAGGAGAAGGCTGGGAGGCAGAGCCAGGTGGATCTTTGTGAGTTTGAGGCTAGCCTGGTCTACAGAGTGAAATCCAGGAAAGGCGCAAAGCTTCACAGAGAAACCCTCTCTCGAAAAAAAAATTGATTAATAATCAGAAAGTATAAAGCAGCACACGACTTTTTAACTTCATTTCTCGGATCATTTTAAGCTCCTAAATGTCACATCTGACTGATATTTGTTTAAACTTACTTTGGTTTTATTTTCTTGAGATTTGTGTTCTCCATCATGTTCTAGTTGATTTCTCCCCCTTTTAAATTCTATGATCAGTGACTTCGCTAAGCTGATAAACTTTGTTGTTCTGAAGTGGTTGCTTATGTTCAAGGAACTGAGCCCAATTTCTCAAGATTAATCAAGAGTTAATCTAGACTTAATGTACATTTAGTAGTCATTAGTTCATGACCAGAAAGCAGTATTTATTGTGGGACAAATATTAATACCTTGTTAAATGTATTTCCAGACTTCACTGGCCATGACTGGTTTAAACGGGTCACTTAAGTCTTGTCTATATACTCACTAACCTTAAACTAGTTGAAAGTATGATAAAATGAGATATCATTTTTAGGTCTTCATTGCTTTTCCTTATTAGATGTTAGGTCCATTTTCATTTCCATGTGATTTTTTCAAATGCCTTTTATTCCTATAGTAGGTGTGAATTAGTCTGTATCTCAAGTAGATTTTTAGCCAGGGGAGTTGCTTCCTCTAATAATATGAAAGCCCATGTTTCAAATGCCTGTAAACTTTTGTTTACATTTAATTTTTCCATTTAAATGTCTTTGTGTTTCTTTCTCTAATACACCATGAGAGGAATGCAGCCATTAGCTGCAGTAAGTGCAGGTGGAACAGAACTGAACTAGGCTTTTCACCTGGGGCAAGGCTTGATGCTCTGCAGAACTAGTACTCAGTCACAGACGTGTGGAGAAACACTATAATTTTTCCCCACTGAAATTGTTGAGATTTGCAGGTTTTTATTATATATCACTTTTATTTTATTTTATTTTAAATTATATGAGCAAGAGATATTGAGAAAGGTCTGGAATTCCCAGGAGTTTCTGGACACTGTTTGCCTGTTTTCCGTATTAGAATTAATGACACACCTGCCATTATAGCTGCTTCAATAGGAAGTTGAGAGAAGTCGCCCCAGGAATTTATTCAGGTGATGATGGTTAAGTCCAGAAGAGATCAAGGTGGTAGTGGTGCACACCTTTAATCCCAGCACTGAGGAACAGAGGCAGGAGGATCTCTGTGATTTTGAGACCAGCCTGGTCTACAGAGCCAGTTCCAGGATAGCCAGGGCTACACAGAGGAACCCTGTCTCGAAAAACAAAGACCAAAGTCCAGAAGAGATGTTCCTTTAAGCTTCTTAGGGTAAGGGGGCGTGAAACCTTTTGTTTTTATTGGACCAGCTTGCTGTTTTTCATCATACTCTTTTTTCCCTTAGAGGCAGGTCTCCCTAGTTGTGGCTGGTCTGGAACTCCCTGTGTAGACCCGGCTGGTGTCAATCTCTTAGAGATCCTCCTGCCTCTGCTTCCTGAGTGCTGGCATCACACCTGGCCCTCTCATATTGATAAAATTGCTCACTTGGACTTTGGGGTTGTGTTTTCATCTTGTTAAAATAAAATAACCCATTTTTCAGATAGGGAAATGGAAGCTTTCGTAGTCTCACAGTTGGCGTTCGATAAAACTGAGATTGAGATCACATTCCACACTCTTTTTATTACAGGCTGGCCTTGAACTCACAGAGATCCACTTGCCTCTGCCTCCCAAGTGCTGGGATCAAAGGCGTGCGCCACCACCGCCTGGCTCCTGCCCGGTGTTCTAAGAGCTGTCATACTGTAGTCTGATGATATCCGCAGGTGACGTGTTCTTCATCTGGAGATGGCGGCCCCCGAGTTTCCCGTGAGTGCCCTCCTGTTTGCATTGCTCCTTTGTTCCGTGGCTAGTTACCCCAACGGAAAAGTCACCATGTCCTGCGGGGGGATGACCCCCCAACACGGCCACAGCCCACAGTCTGAGCCTGTTCACCAAATCACAGTGAGTCAGATGAAGTTCAAACCCGGAGACCAGATTCAAGGTACTAGTGCTGGGTATAATGATTTGCATTTTGAGTTTGGCTCTTTTTCTACTTGTCTTTACTATGACTGGAATGAAATCATTTCGTTTTAACCTATTTACTTGAGTTACCACAGCGTTATCTACTTCCATTTTTTGTTTACTACCGATGTCTTATTATGTAAGTGGCATCTATTCCTTGTTAAGATCAAGGTCTAAAAAAGTGTTTTTTTTTTTTTAGAGTACCAAGGAATATGTTTGTTTTATTATATTAACATTGCATTCATTGTGTACAGAAAAAAATATTTTATATTGTTTTACTTCTCCCCACTTTAAAAAGTAGTTCAATCTCTTGTGGGTCCCTGATTCCTTTGGCAAAATGTAGGCTGAGTGTTAAGGTTTATCTATAGCCAGGTGTGGTGGTATGTGCCTTAATCTTGGCACTCTGGAGGCTGAGGAAGAATCAGGGTTTGAGGCAGTTGGACTATATAGCAAGACTCTGTCTCAGAAAAACAAAACAAAAGGCATGTCTGTCATAGCATATGAAATTCCTGTATTTTGCAATTATAGAAATACATACTGTTAATAGGAGTTTTTTTATTTGTTTTTTGTTTTTTGTTTTTGAGACAGGGTTTCTCCTTGTAACTGCCCTGGCTGTCCCGGGACTTGCTTTGACCTCGCAGATCCACCTACCCCTGCCTCCTGAGTGCTGGGATTAAAGCGGAGCACCCTCACTGCCCAGCTTGTTAATAGGAGTTCTTAACAAAAAGGATGCATGAAGAAATAAATGTGGAATATCCTGTGTGCTTTAGATATCTCTTAGAATTTTACTCTGCACAATAGAGTACTAATGATAGTCAGATTTGTAATAAAAAAACATGTTCTTTTCACCTAGAATTTTCTAAATTAATTTTTCCCATAGACAATTACCTAGTCATCATCCATGCTTTACCCTCTTGTGGAACTGCTATTAATATCTCATGATGCTAGGCCTAAAGACACAGGTCTATAATCCTAGACACTCAGTAGGCTGAGACAAGATGATTGCAGGTTCAAGGCCAGCCTGTGCTACAGAACGAATTCAAGGCTAGCCTGGGTTACTTACTGAAACTCTGTTTCCAAATAAAAACTAAATGAGGATTGAGGATGTAGTTCTATGATGGAGTGGTTGCCTAGCATGTGCAAGGTCCTGGGTTCAATACCTAGTTCTACAGAATAAACAACCAGCCTACCCAAAACAAATCAAAAAAAGCCTCCCAAAACATGGCATTTGTGCTCTATGGGACATAATTTAGACATTCTTCTGCAGGATGATTTCCGTCCTGTGTGTTTTGCAGAGATACACCCAATTCTGACTAAATGAGCTTCTTCTAAACAATTTTTCCTAGCATATTACTAACTCTTTTACCCTACCCTCTCTCTTTATCTGTTGCTCAGTTACTGTATCAGGGCCGCCATTTAGAGGCTTTCTCTTAGAAGCTCGTGATGCCGAGGATTTGAGTGGTCCTCCTCTTGGCTCCTTTACATTGATTGACAGTGAATTGTCGCAGCTTCTGACTTGTGAAGATGTACAGGTTTGTGTGTGGTTTGGAGTTGATTTCTATTGGTTCCTTTTTTTTTTTTTTTTTTTCCGAAGACAGGATTTCTCTGTGTAGCTTTGCGCCTTTCCTGGAACTGCTTTGGAGACCAGGCTGGCCTCAAACTCACAGAGATCCACCTGCCCCTGCCTCCCGAGTGCTGGGATCAAAGGCGTGCGCCACCACCGGCCCGGCCCTTTGGGCTATTTTTAACTCAAGGGTGGTGACTAGCTCAACGATGGCATCACCATGTGTAGCAGGCATTTGGATAGATTTACAATCATCAAACCTGACCACTGGTTTACCTAGCAGCATCTAGGGATGTGAGGGTAATAGCCTGAAGAGTTTATACTTGGTGATGGTTATATTACATTGGTAAATACTGACCTCAATGTAGGACAATTACATGCCCTTAATCCCAGCACTTGGGAGACAGGGGCAGGCGGATCTCTGAGTTCGAGGCCAGCCTGGTCTACAGAGTTAGTCCCAAGACAGCCAGGGTTACACAGGGAAACCCTGTCATCTCAAACAAACAAACAAAAGTTTAAAGACAATTTTGTGTGTGTGTGTGTGTGTGTGTGTGTGTGTGTGTGTGTGTGTGTGTGTGTATAGAAGGTACAGAAGGGGGCATGCCATCATACATGTATGGAGGTCAGAAGACAACCTAGTGGCGTCAGTTCCCTCCTTCCATCTTTACATGTGCTCAGCTAATCAAACTCAAGAGTCAGACTTGAGTCATTGGATCCCAAGTGCCTTTATCTGCTGAGCTGTCTTACTGGCCCCAGTGTACTGATTTTTAAAATGATTTCAGCATTGAAGAGACAGTTGTAGAATGGGACAGGGGTGTAAGGTTTGATGTTCATTCATTCACTCATTCAGTCAATAAACACTATGTCAGGAGCTTTGCCGAGCACAAGGATATGGTAACAAACACAACTTACTCCTTTTCCTTGAAGACCTCAAACTCTTACACTAGATGAAAGCCTGTGGCCACAGGGTAGCTGGCATAAGGGTGTGGCATGCCACTTAGGACAGAGACATCAGTAGAATAGTATGAAAACTTAGGTTGGAGTGCGTACAGAGTCAAGGAATTGTAGCAGAGGAAGTCACAAATTGGGGCATGTGAATTTTAAGTTAGGTTTTGAAGAATGTGTAGGAGTTTGGCAGGTGAAAGAAAGTGGAAACAGAGGGGTTGGGGATTTAGCTCAGTGGTAGAGCGTTTGCCTAGCAAGCTCAAGGCCCTGGGTTTGGTCCTCAGCTCCGACAAAAAAAAAAAAAAAGTGAGAACAAGACTGTTCAAAAGTAGGAATTGCTAAAACAGGATATATGTTTGGAGGTGTGAAATTGGTGTTTTTGTTTTTTTGTTCTTTCTTTTAAGGAATCTTCTGTATTTTATTCACATCTATTAATGAGAAGAATACAAATTTAAAGTGTAAAATAAGGCAAAGAACAACCTTCAAATAATATTAACACACCCAATATTCATGGCTTCCTTCAGTATTTAAGTTTCTGATAACTCTACTTTATCACAGAATTGATAAATATGACTGATAATACATTGTCAACCAATGGGTATGAATTTACTGAGGACCTAGCCTTGCTCTATGTAAAATAGTCTTCATCCAAATGCTCTGACCATTTAGTGATCATTTATTTTGCAAATGATTGCATTCTGACCATGCTGAGCTCTCCAGTGATGGGATGGTTGTGCCTTTCCACTTTATCTCAGGGTTTCGCTGTGAGTCATACGAGTTCATCCAAGAAGACAGAAATTAAAGTATACTGGAACGCCCCAAGCAGTGCCCCAAATCACATACGATTTCTGTGAGTATGAGAGCACTCACCTCTGTAACCACTGCCATTGAGATGGAGATCCTCACGACGTGTACCAGTTTGCCATTGGCTGCTCACCTGTGTAGGAGAGCTTTAGCAGTTACAGCGTACTGATGGAAGGTTATCTTGCTTCTTTCCTTTGCTATTGTTTGAGGCAGCGTCTTGCGATGCAGCATTGGATGACCAGGAACTCCCTATGTAGATGAGGCTGGCCTTGAACTTGTAGCAATCCTCCTGCTTCTGACTTCCAAATAGACCTGGCCTTTTTTTCCCCCCTTTGCTACAACAGCAAACTTTTAGCACATAGCCCAGGACTTTGCACTGTCTTTTTTTTTAAAGGCCTCTTCCTGCTTTTTCCTCCCACGTGCTTGGATTACAGGCATGCACCGCCAAGCCTGGCAGGACTTGGTACTTAAGGGGCCTTTACTAGACATTGTTGAGTGAGTGAAGTATTACACTACTTTAGGACTCCCAAGAGCCATCAACTAGTACTTGAGCATGTGGTGTGTAGAGTAATACTTCCAGGTTTTGTGTGAGAGTATAAATAAGCCAGGGCTGAAAGTAGGGTGACTTCTTTGGCAGCACTACAACTTGTAGATAGCTTATCAGGAAACAAATCTGCTGCGTGCCTCTTGGAACTGTGAAATCAGAATTACGATAGGGTCCTTTTCCTATTCAGCGGCACAAGGCAGAATGGAATGCCATAAAGCCGGGTAATGATTCCTGAGCTGTGTTCCAGACATATGTCTATCTTGTAGGAGAGAACCTTCTCTGGACATGTTTCTTTTCTGCTTAACTTTGTCCACAGGCCCCCAGCACACTGGAGCACTGCTTTGCACCCGTGTGTTAGTTGCTAAGGTGGACCTCAAAGACACTTAGCTTTAGGCGGTCTCTATGGAGCTTCGGTCGGTGGCTGCCTCTTACACACGCCCTTTGGAGGAATATGATGCGTGCACTGTGAACTGATTAGAAGTGTGTTCTTGTCAGGGAGTGGAAGACTATATAGTTGAGTTGTGCAATTCAGCATTTGTGGCTGTTGTTAATAAAAAAACATACAACCAATAAGAAAAAAGGGAGGCAGGGAGAGAGAGCAATAAAGTTCGTCTAGTAATGGGTGGAGGACAGGCACAAGAGCTGTGCCCCACACATGTGGTTTTTTTTTTTTTTTGAGGCAGAGTTTCTCTGTGTAGTTTTGGTGCCTGTCCTGGATCTCGCTATGTAGACCAGGCTGGCCTCGAACTCACAGAGATCTGCCTGGCTCTGCCTCCCAAGTGCTGGGATTAAAGGCGTGCGCCACCGCCACCCAGCCTCACTTAAAGTTTTGATTTGCTTATGATGGGCCACTGCTGGGGTTTTGTCTAATCCCATTGGTACTCTATTTCAGAGCCACAGTTGTTGAGAAGTATAAGATCTACTGGGTGAAGATTCCCAGTCATGTTATTTCACAACCAAATGCTCCTCCCTTTACGACGCCTGAAGCTACAGCCCAACCGTTGACAACATCACCTTCTGTCGCCCACTTAACCAAGCCAGTGAGTAACGTTTCTGTTCCTTCACTAAATGCAACTGAGAGGAGCTTGCCTGGCAGCTGATCCTGTGGGTAGCATTAGCTGGACTGCGCTGTGGGAGGGAGTTTTGGGGGTCTCTGTAGAAGTCTGAAGGAAGAAGTCTTTGCTGATTTACAGGTTTGAGTAAAGGACATAAAAGTTTCTCCTTTCAAAGCGTAGGTGCAACACTCACAGTTAGTTTTGCTAACAGGAAGTGTGTGTTCACTTGAAAACGAAGCCAAGAAAACTTCGCCCTCTCTTCACGTCTCCTTCCTTTTTTTCCATTCTCCTTTCCTGCAGAATATTAAACATAGAAAGGAAGTTTCAGTTACATTTAGACAAGATTTGGAGGAGAGTCTTGAAGTGGTAGTATAATATAGACTTTATCTTATTAAAATTAGAGTGTTGGGGGACTCTGGGGTATGGTGGCAACTGCCCAGAATCCCAACAGTTAGGAGGCAGAAGTAGGAGGATCGTTGAAAATTTGAGGCCAGGCTGGATTACGTGGTGAGTTCTAGGTCAGTCTGAACCATATAGTAAGACTATGTCAACTCCCTTGCCCTCACCAAACAAACAAATGAAACAAACGACATAGGAAGTTTGAGGCCACATGAGGTTCTGCTCTCTTTGTCCCCCACATCCCTGAACAGTACCAGACAGTTCAGTGTGCTGAGTCACAGAAAAGAAAAATCGCTCTCAAATCATGTCAGCTGCAGTTCCATTTAGGCTGTCTGAGTCAAAAGAATGATGACTGAAAAAAAATGTGGAAGGGGTGGTCATACTAGAAACGTCAGGAAGGTTTTCTCTGGAGGACATTTGGGTGAATTAGACTGCTTCTTGCAGAAGTGCACACACAGAATGTGTCGCCATAGTTACAAGAACATGCTTGTGCCTAAGTCTTGACTTGCCTGCCTTCTGGGGGTCTTTGGGGGAAATTATTCCTATGTCAGCTTCAAAGGGGAGAAACAATCATGTGTAGCTCTTTATGGCCAAGAATAGCCATCAAAATAATGAATGCATGCTTTTACCTGTGCCTTGTGCCGCACAGATATGAGGTGAAGTCTAGGGCAGAGGTTCTCAACCTTCCTAATGCTGCAACCCTTTAATACGGTTCCTCATGTTGTGGTGACCCTCCGCCCCCCGCAACCATAGCATTATTTTTGTTGCTACTTTGTAACTGTAATTTTCTACTGTTATGAATTGTCATGTAACTATCTGCAATTTCCCATGGTCTTTGGAGTCGCGACTTGACCGCGACTCATAGGCTGAGAAACACTTCTCTAGGTCCTGTTTTCTTTGCTTTTTGTCTGCATAGGTATCTCTTCTTTCCCTAAATAAGGGATTGGAGAGGTGGTTCACCAGTTAAGAGCACTTGTTGCTCTTCTAGAGGACCCGAGTTTAGTTCTAAATCCCACATCAGACGAATTACAGCTGCCTGTAACTCTAGCTGCAGGAGATCTGATGCCCTCTTCTGGCTTCCTGGAACCCCTACAATACATTTACACAGACATATATACAAATAAAACTAAAAATGACTAAATAAACCATTTCATCTACGTAATAGTGGTCTTATTTAGCATTCTTCTCCTCCACAGTTTTAAACACTTCCATGGATGTTGTATTTGATCACATTGTAATGAATGCTGCACTTTTGTTTGACTGAAAAGTTATTGAAGAGGTTATTATCTGTATTAGCTCCTACTTCACTCTTAATACTTATTTAAAAGCTGCTTTAAGTAAATGCAGTTTTGTACAGCAGCTTCCTAATAAAAAATATTGCCTTTCACGTAGTCAACAAAAGGGGCCTATTCTTTGAAATTTTACCATGCCTCTGTGCCAAGGTGATAATCTTTAATTATAGGGAGATTCATTCAGAGCCCTGGCATTTCTAGGGTTAGAAGAGACCTCAGGGTCTCTTTCGGATTGCCAAAAGTAAAGAGACTTTTAGAGAATAGGTTCTTTGATAAGCGGAATAGACCAAAGTGGAGCTCACAGACCACAGTCACATTTCCAAGGTCCTAGCGGCTCTATTAAGCCTAAGGTGGGAGTTGGGTGGGGGGGCCCTTAGGTACCACCACTGGAGGCTCTGAGTTCAGTCAGTGTAGAACTCCTACAGTTATTTGCGGTGGTGGTATTTACAAGCATCCCATCTTGTCCTGTCACTTAACTGCAAGCTTTGACTGTAAATGTTAAAAGCTGTTCCCAAGATCTATACATAAAGACTTGCCCATGTTTGACTTGCCTGCTTTTGAAAATACTACCTCTTGAAAATTAGAAGGTACCTGCTTAGACAAGATTGCCAGTGTAGACTTTTTCCTAAGAAATGTCTCAAATTTGCAGGGAACCTTGCTCCTCCGGCTCTTGGATGGTGGGAAGTATTTTATATATTAAATGAACATAAGCACTCTTGTACCACTACAGGCTGACTAGTGTAGTTTTCCAAACTGTAATTAAGACTAGCTACATTTAAAAATCCACGGAAGCTGAAGAATGCTCTGATCATTTCTAATTTGTGATGTGTCTTCTGTTCCCTTTTTTGAAGGTTTTCTTGTTGCGGCGCGTACTTGAAGGTAATGGCTGTCCAGTCCTTGGCGGTGAACTGCTCGTTTCGTAATTAGGACCTTCCCCTTCTTGTCATTTTTCTAGTTCAGTGCCTCCGAGTGTGGGGACACGAAGTTCTGTGTCAGGAGTCCTTCGAACTGTGATCCACAGACCGAGCCTGCCTGCGTCTTCTTGTCCTTCACCAGAGATGACCAGTCGGTGGCGGTCGAAATGAGTGGTCCCAGTGAAGGCTACCTGTCCTTTGCATTCTCTCGTGACCGCTGGATGGTTTGTATCTGTTGTTTGCATTTGGGACGACAGCAAGAGACTAACACCAGCAGTACATCAGCTGTGTCTTCCAGATCTGAGGGTAGACTAGGAAAGGAAATACTATGAACTGATCTGATCACGGTGGCTGCTCCATGATCTCGAGTGTTGGGCAGTAATTTCTAAGAGCAGGTCAGCTGGGAAGACCATTTGCCATCCTATGTTCTTGTCTCTTTGTGTAAAAGCAGGAATCACAGACAAAAGAAATGCCTACATAAAATGTCGGACTATTGTTCACTCAGGCACCAGAACTGAAGCCAGCGCCCCCTACTGGTGGTGTCCCTGTCTTAAAGTCTTAGCAAGTTTCCCACCAATGAGGGCAGCGTGTATGCAGGCCATGTTTACTGGCTGCTCCTTTGTCTGATGTGTGGAAGGCAGCGTGTATTTTTCCTGATTCTTTCTCTTCTGGAAGGGGGCTGCTGGATGGATTTAGGGATTCCGTAGGTGGTACCCTTGTGCTGCTGAGGAAAAACAGGATGCTGCAGAAGTGTCTAGTTTCCCTAGGGAGAGGAAAGAGGACCCTTCGTGTAAGTCCTCTTCGTAGAGGATTGGCAGTGAACAGAGTGGATGGCCACCAAAGTGACTCCCTCATTAGGAAAGGCAGTCTTTGGAGACTTTCCTTCATGTCAGGGTCTAAACTTGACATCCCCCCTTTTGAGGGAACCATAGTTCAAAATAACAAAACAAAACCAAGGAAAACAGAACTCTGGCATGGTTGTGAAAGAAGAACCAAGATTTATTCTAAAATGCACACCACCCAAGTTGTTGGCACAGGCCTTTAATCCCAGCGTTTAGGAGATTAAGGCAGGAGAATCAGGAGTTCGAGGTCAGGGGGCCAGCAGCATGGGGATGTGAAGCCCTATCCCCAAACACAGAACCATAGTGACAAGGCAACACGTTACCTCATGCACTTTCAGAAGGAAGAACATTTCAACCTTTTCTCTTCAGAGTTAGTTACTTTTATGGGAAGCTTTATACATTTTTATGGAACATAATGCTGCAATTGTGCAAAATATTTCCCCTGCTTTCTCTCTGTAATTACCATCAGACCTGCAGCGTATTCTTTTGGGTGTTCTCAGTACTAGCAAAAATGAATCAAATTTGGTGCCTGAGATGAATAATGAGGTTGAGATCAGAGTCAAATGTGACTCTAAAGCAATAAGGAAAGGCCGTGGTAATGCTTGTTATTCGAGCGGGATGGAATGGGTTGTGAAGCAAATTCTGAAGAGGACTCCAGATAGGGTTAAAAGGCCTTGTTGGATAAACACATAATTTCCTTGAGGTGGATCTCTGGGACACTGCAGTCATTTACGTATGTCAGTTATGCATTATTATACATGACATATTACATCATATTTGTTTGTCATTGGAAAGTAAAAACAACTTATTCCTATAACTGTATAGCTCAGATTCATGCTATAATGTAATAGCGCCTTTCCTCCTACTGGCCACAGTGAATGGGAAAGAGGGAAGGGTACTGCTGTTGAGTGTGATGGCGGACTTCCCACAGGCAGGTTAGTTCTTGTAAATTGTAGGCAAGATGGCACAAAAGCATTTATCTCTAATTTGAGATATTTTTATCTCACTTAGAAATCTTACCTATTTCTCTTATAGTGCTCATCAAAAGTGTTTATAAAAAGACTTAATTATGCAGGTGCAGTTGGTTTACAGAGAGAAGCCTGCTTAATGATTAAAATCAGTTGTACACCTGGTTGCCTAAATTGGTGAAAATGGATCGTCCTCAGAATATACTTTAAAAGTGGTTATATCTATTTAAGGTTGTTATTTTCAAAACTTTAGTGTATTTTTATGAACATTTTTTTTGAGACAGGGTCTCACTATGTAGCCTTGGCTAGCCTGGAACGCTGTAGACTGGGTTGGCTTCAAACTCCCATAGATCTGCCTGCCACTGCCTCTTGATTACTGGGATGAAAGGCATGTGACACCACATTCAGAGTTCTGTTATTTTTGACTATATCATATAAGTTGAGATACTGAAGATGTTTGGTATTTTAAATGTTGATTGGATAACAACCTAAAGTCTACCTAAAAAAAAAAAAAAGTCTCATAAATTGACAGCAATTGCTTTCATCACTGAAATTGAAAAGTATAATTTTCCAAATTTTTGCTAATACTGGCTTGCTTATTTTTGCATTTTGGTCTTCTCTGTGATTTTCATTATATAAAGTTTAACAAGAAAACACGTTACTAGCTTCTCTCCCCATCCCCCTCTTAAGTAGAAAACAGTCAATTTCTCCAACTATATACTCACAAGTTGCTTCTGTGATCCTCCTAAGTGTGGGGTATCTCACCACACACCAAGCAAGCAATTGATTTTGCAGCAGGTATTCAACCTGGAGATAGTGTCAGACCCCCTGGGTTGAGGACTCAGTCCCTGGGACTGCCCAGCCCCTACTGTTCTTACCTGTGCTTTTGACTCTAGGGATGACAAACCAGTATTCTCAACACCCCGTCCTGGGGCTGGAGAATTCAACAAATTCAGGGAAGCACTCTTTTCTGTTTATTATAAACGATATGTCAAAGGATACCAAAAGAGAGGTGCACATGGCAAGGGGTGTGTGTGGGAAGTGGCAGGAGCTTCCGTGGCCTCTCTGGGCACACCATCTTTCAAATCCAGGTCTCTCAGAAGAGCAGCCAGTGCTCTTAACTGCTGAGCCATCTCTCCAGCTCCTTTCAGGAACCTCAAGTTCAGCTATCTGGAAGTTCTCCAAACCCTGTCCTTCTGGGGTTTGTACATACTTCATCACATAGGCATGATCCATTGAGCCTTTGACCGCTGATGACCTACTTAACCTTCAACACCTTCTACTCTCTTGGTATATTAGGGGTGAGATTAGGGTCTTAATCTTTTAATCATGTGGGTATCAGGGGCTGCCAGTCATCAGTCAACTCATTAACACCCCTTCCCCCCAAAAGAAAACTTTTAGAGAGTCCAGAGGTTATAGGAGTTCTATACCAGGAGCTGGGGATGAAGACAGAATATGTATCTTGCTGTATTATATGTGCTGCATACATAACCTTTCAGTGACCAAACTCTAGGTTATTCTTAGCTCTGACCTTACTTGGGCCCTGGATTGTAGATTTCACTGTTGGCTGGTCTCATGCCAATGATTGTTTTTGGACAATACTGTAACATTGAATTTATGATCATTTTCTCTCCTTGTTTTCCTTATTCTTGGTGGCCAACAATTGTATTAAGTCACTTAGCATTATTGTGTAGTGGCTCCTCGTCAGGTACAGTGTGAGGTAAATCATAGGACATCTTTTCTATGGCTGTCATCCTCTTCCCTTGTTTTTGGAAGAATTTTGGTTTTGATCGTGGCTTGGATTCCCTTCCATTCATAATTTTGGTTTTGATCGTGGCCTGGATTCCCTTCCATTCATAATTTTGGTTTTGATCGTGGCCTGGATTCCCTTCCATTCATTATTTTAGTTTTGATCGTGGCCTGGATTCCCTTCCATTCATAATTTTGGTTTTGATCGTGGCCTGGATTCCCTTCCATTCATAATTCCTTCTTCCTCCTGTCTCAAGCTTCTCTGTCTATGTTGTTTCTCTTTTGCGTGTAGGGAATCGAACTCGGGGCCTCAGTGCACATTACACGGAGCTACATTTCCAGCCTCACTGTCCCTTTTTACAAACTTTAAGGCAGAAATGCCGAAAGAATAGTCCAATGAACGCCATTAATCCTTCACCTAGATTTGCCCTTTTACCTTCATCCTTCTGTGTTCAGGTCCATTACTCTGTCTCATTTGACTCGTGTGGTGTATATAAATACAGTTTTCCCTCTTAAACTCTTCGAGAGGAAGTGGATATGACAGCATTTCATCTCAGAGATTTTGGCACTTCTCTCCTAAGAACAAGAATGTTCTCTTGCAATTACCACAATTTTATCACATTGAGAAAATTTGATAATGAGACTATCATTTTGTGCACTACATAGTTTATATTCCATTTTCCCAGTCATCCCAATAATGTTCCCTTGTACCTGTTTTTTTTTAAAGAAATTTCTTATCCAAGAGTGAGCAATTATCTTTCAATGCATTTATGTATCTTGATCTTCTTTACTTTAGCAGTTATTCTATTTTTTTCTTGATATTTTTTTCTCTTTTTTCAGGCCAGTAGCTTTGTCGAGAATTCTGCTATTTTTTTTTTTTTTTTTTAAACAGGGTTTCTCTGTGTAACAGCCCTGGCTGTCCTGGGAACTCGTTTTGTAGACCAGACTGGCCTCAAACTCATAGAGATCGGCCTGCTTCTGCCTCTTGAGTGTTGAGTTTTGGGATTAAAGGTGTGTGCCACCATTGCATGCCTTTAGTGTTCTGCCATTTACATGGTAGATTCATATTAAGATGTAGCCAGAAGGTTTTCTCTGGTCCCGCCTGGCCCCGAGGTCCCACAGCCACTTATAAAATAATCACTCAGAGGCTTAATATTATTTATAAACTGTATGGTCTATGGCAGGCCTCTTGCTAGCTAGCTCTTATATCTTAAATTAACCCATTTCTATTAATCTATGTTTTCCCAGGTGTTCCCTGGCTTTACTAGTTCTTTCACATCTTGCTTCTTCTGGCAGCAGCTGGTGTGTCTCTCCTCTGCCTCTCCTTTCTTGTCTCTGTCTTGGATTTCCTGCCTGCCTATAAACTGCCTTGCCATAGGCCAAAACAGCTTTATTTATTAACCAGTCATAGCAACACATATTCACAGCATACAGAAAGACATCCTACAGTATTAAGATTTTTGTCACAGGGCTGGAGAGATGGCTCAGCCATTAAAGGCTAGGCTCACAACCAAAAATGTAAGAATTTTGGCACAATGGGCTGGTGATATGGTTCAGTGGGTAAAGGTGCTTGCTACCAAGTTTGGTTACCTGAGTTCATAATGGCAGGAGACAAATTACTCTTACATGCTGTCCACTGGCTTTCCCTTGTGCGCGTGCGCACACACACACACACACACACACACACACACACACACACACACACCCCAGTGTAAGTGGTAGGATTTTTGACAAAGTACTAATAATGACTCACTAACAATGAATCAGCACGTCAAATCAAGGTGTACATCGTTCTGTCTGTGGTATCTGCTAGCTTTCTCCATTGGGCAGGTGAAAAACACAGGTCTTTGTATTTAGTAAGTAATACACAGGGTGATGTTTTAACTCTTTGTGAACTTTGTGCTCTTCAGTAACCCATGGCCAAATGACTTCAGCATGGGATGACTGTAAAGCAAGTTGCCACATCTGGCCTTGCAGAGTGGTGACTTCCGAGTTACCAGTTGAGAGTCCTCTGAAAAGAAGAGCTTTCTCCTCTACACTTCTTCCTTTAGAGACTCACTCTATAGATTGATGGATTGGATTTTTTTTTATAATTAAACAATTTTATTCACTGTGTGTGTGTGTGTGTGTGTGTGTGTGTGTGTGTGTGTGTGTGTGTATAGCATGCATGTGGAGGTCAGAGGACAACGCTGTGGAGTCAGCTTTCTCCTTCCACCTTTCTGCGGGCTCTGGGAATTGAACTTGGATCACTAGGCTTGCTCTGCTTACCTGCTGAGCCATCTTTCAGCTCCTAGACTAATGGCTTTTTCTTGCTCATTGTGTTGCAGTTTATTGAGGAACTCTCTTCAGCTTGCCTTCTGACCTCTCTGGGCATCTCTATCCATTTTGAGCATGTTCTAGATTTCTCTGGTGTCAAAAGATGTTTTCCACTCGTACTTCATCATTCCTCAAAAAACCTGTTTCTTTTTAGCAGTAATAGTTTGTAGAAGTTAAGGTTTGAATGTTAATATGTTAGCAGATACTGTATCTTTCTGTGGATTGATTTTGAGAGGAGTTTTCAGGATAGGCAAGTACTCAGTACTGCTGAGCGACCCACATCCGCCCTCCAATGTACTTTTTAAAAACTTTATTATTTTTTACACTTTCTTACTTTGTGTATGTGTGTGTCCCTGTGCGGGCACAGATGTGGGGGTCAGAGGACAGTGGGTGGGAATTTCTTCCACACTGTAGGTTCCAGTCCAACACGTAGGTTCTGGCGATCAAACTTAGGTCATCAGGGTTGGCAGTGAGTGCCTTTTCCTCCCGAGCTGTCTTACCACCCTTCCCACGGACCTTTGACCCCGTCTCCAGCACTGTGCTTTAATTCTCTTCACCGCGTTGTCACCGTCTCTGGTGTGGCTCATCCCTCTCCCTGGTCTTCCTGTCTGTAATCTCCCCTCTGTATTTCCGAAGGTGTGTGCTTCTGTAACTCCGAAGAGTGGCGTCTTCTCTTCCCTTCATTTGGGAGGTGAAGACTGCGTTCTCTGCTCCTGTTCTCACCTGTCCCGTCTTCTCCGATAGTCAGGATGCCTCTCTGTTATCGTTAGTACTGGAGTTCTAATCCGTTTGCTTCTAAGTCAATACTTGGACTAAGTAATACCTGGACTGTATTATTATTATTATTATTGGTTTTTTTAAGACAGGGTTTCTCTGTGTAGCTTTGCACCTTTCCTGAAACTCACTCTGTAGTCCAGGCTGGCCTCAAACTCACAGAGATCCGCCTGCCTCTGCCTCCCAAGTGCTGGGATTAAAGGCGTGCGCCACCACCGCCAGGCTATTATTATTTTTTTGTATGCATATTTCTTTGCAGGTGCATTTGGAGGCCTGAGGTTAAAGTTAGGTGTCTTCCTCAATCGCTCTCTACCTTTTGTTTTAAGACAAGGTCTCACTAAATCTAATGCTTTCACTAATTCATCCACCTCTGGGATTGCAGGTGTACATCGCCATATTGCCATGCCTGGCTTTTTATGTGGGTACTGTGTTTTTTTTTTTTGTTGTTGTTACCATGTTGGCTTTAGGGATGAAATTCAGGTCACCAGGCTTGGCATCGGGCACTTTACCCACTGAGTCATTTCATTGCTTCCCTCCAATTTCTTTAAACAAATTATATTTTTATCTTTATAATTACATCATTTCCATTTCCCCCTTTCCTTTCCTCCCTCCAAACCTTCCCATGTAACTCCCCACCCCTTGTTCTTCTTCGAATTTATGGCCTCTTTTTGTTCGTTGTTACATACCAGTCCCAGGTGGGGCATCTGCAACCCAGCTCCTGCCCCTGAGGCTCAGAGATCAGTGCCGAAGAGGGCATGGAGAGGTCCTCGGAGCCAGAGGACCAGGGAGTTTGCTGGGAGATTTGGTCTCTTAGAAATGTTCGAAGCTATACCCACAAAGTCTCACCTACATGGCTGCCTGCATGTAACCTGAATAAGGACAACGCTAATAGGCATGCTGATGTGGAAGGGGGAGGAAAGCTCACTAGGCCTCAGCCCTAGAAAAAGAATTACAGGCAACTACGGGAAGCTGAGAGTGAGGGAAATAGTCTTCCCCAGGGTAGAGCAAACCCATTGGTTATCCAGTATCAGATGGTCAGCCCTGAAAACATATATATATATGTATATACACACACACATTACACAGATGGAGCACATTGTGCATACACACATATATAATAACAATAAAGAATTAAAAGGAGTTAGTAGCTAAAGGGGCTCGTTAGCTTAGTGGGATACGGACAGTGACTTCAGACTGACATTTGTACCATTGCTTCAATGTACTCTGAAGTCACAGCCTGACTTCTCAGAGCCATTCCAAAGAGGAATAACGTAACTTTCAGAGTTAAGGAATATTGGAGACTAAAGGATTAGGAAGAATTGTACTGATAGGAAGTTCCTACCTCAACTCTGGTATTTTTGATCTCAAAATTCCATGTTAAATCCAGTGAATAGGTACAATATGCAGCAATATTTTATATATATATATATATATTATATGTATATATAAAATGCTGTATATTCACAGTCACAAATGTGTATGACGTGTATATTTATTTGAAAGTCAGTCTCTCATACAGTGCTCACAGTTAAGTGATACGCAGGCAACAGAACTTATTTTCTCCTCTGAGAAGGAAGAAACAGACAGATGCCAATGTTGGAATCCATATGCACGGAAGTGCTAACAGTGGCATCCATTTGTGGGTATAAGAATAGGAAAGCATGCTATATGTCTTTTAAAGGGAGCAATTCGAGACCTATACATGCTGGGTAAGTGCTCTACTGTTGTATACTACCTCCAATGTGTCTATTTTGATCTGTTACTTTAGGGATTTTAGTGCTCTTTTATTCTTTTTTTTAAAAGAGATTTATTTATTTATTATGTATACAACATTCTGCCTACATGTACTCCTGCTCGCCAGGAGAGGGCACCAGATCTCATTACAGATGGTTGTGAGCCATCATGTGGTTGCTGGGAATTGTGTTCTTAACCTCTGAGCCATCTCTCCAGCCCCACCCTTTTATTCTTAATTAATCTTTGAGACACTGTGTAGCCCTGACTGGCCTGGAACTTGACATGTAAAGTAGGCTGGCTTAGATCTCAGAGATCGGCCTCCCCAGGGCTGGGATTAAAGGTTTGTGTCCCCACTCCCAGATATTTATTTATTTTTGAAACAGGGTCTTACTATGCAGCTGTGCCAACAGGCCTCAAGCTCACAAAGATCTGCTTGCCTCTGTCTCCTGAGTGCTGGGGTTAAAGGTGTGTACCACCACACGTAGCTCACAAATAAACAACTGGTTCTCTACATAGATCATTTACTGCTGAGTCAATTATGTTTTAAAAGCATCAAATGCTACTTGATTAGGGGTGCCTTAAAATAATGCGCTTGTTTTCCAGGGTGATGACGATGCTTACTTGTGCATTCGTGGAGACCAGACAGTGTATATACAGCCTTCCTATTTGACAGGGCGAAGTTATCCTGTGATGGGCTCCAGGGTGAGTGTGAACATGCTGGCAATGCACATGCTTGGTCCACTGCTACGTGTCTACCACTGATGTGGCTGTGCATGTAGCCAGCCCTGTAGTTAGCCTCTCACCCGGGCAAGGGCCCGACCGCAGCGTTCTTCTCAGAATGATCGCCAAGAAACATTCTGTACTTAGAAAGCACAGGACAAAATTCTCTGCTAGGAAGTGATCAATTATTGCTCCCATCACTTAATTCCTTTTCGTTACATCTTATGGAAAGGTATTTTATGGCTTCTTGACATGATCAGAAAGCTTATAGGACAGGATTTTAAGATGAGACCTGGGGAAGGGTGTGCCGGGGATCAGTCCCCAGCACGGCATAAGCGGGGTGTGGAGGCGTGTGGCTGTGATGCCAGCACTAGGTGGGTGGAGCACCAGGATCAGAAGTTTAAGATCAGAAGCCCCTGTGGAGGCCCATACCTTTAATCTCAGCACTTGGGAGGCAGGTGAATGAATCTCTGTGAGTTCGAGGCCAGCCTGGTCTACAGAGTGAGTTCCAGGACAGCCAGAACTGTTAAATAGAGAAATCCTGTCTTGAAAAACCAAAACAGGAGAAAAAAAGAAAAAACAAAAAGAAGGAAAGAGGAAAAGAAAAAGTTCAAAATTGGGACTGCAGAGATGGCTCAACAGTTAGGAGCACTTGTTGCTCTTGCAGGGGACCCTGATTATGTTCCCAGCACCCACATGGTGGTTCAAAACCTTCTGGAACCCTAGTTTTAGTGGATCCAGTGTCCTCTTCTGACGTCTGTGGGCACCAAGCATATACATACATATATGCAGGCCAGGCACTCATACGCATATAGGAAAATAAGTAAATCCTGAGGGTGGGTGGTAGTTTAAGGTCCATATTCCAGCAGCAGACAGGAGGAACAGCTCCCCGAGGGACTGTCCCCACACCTAACCATTGTCCTGACATTTGCCATTGAATGGTGACCATGCAGCCACGCCAATCACAGAAGAGTCAGCAGAAGCCAGAGTCACCGCTTGGAGTCAACTACAGACCATATGCAGGGACTCGAGTATTATATAACTTGGCCAACAAGAGTGTTTGGTTTAGGCAAATGAGATGTGAGGTTTTGGGATTTGTTTTTGTTCTTGTTTTTGTTTTTGTTTCTGTTTCCTCCCATCCCTAAAATATTTTTTTCCCCCAAACTTGGGGCTGGATGTAGACTCTCAGCCTGTGGCCCAACTCTGACCCCCAGAACTGTGGTTCCCTCTGGTTTGACTTGTCCTAACCAAATAGAGAGCTTGTGGTCACATTCCCCAGTGGGCATGCCTATGGGATGTTGAGAGGGGGAAGAGGGACAGAATTCCACCTATTTGTTGTAGGCAAAGAATATTAAAATGTGAAATACTATAAACAGATGAAGTTGTTAACAGCACACTGGAAAAGGACCAAAACCCAAACACTCCATTGGTCCAAAAATGTGTCAGGTTAACATCGCCTTGGAGGAAAGCCCCTCAGCGTGGGTGGCATTGTACGTGGGCACTGGGACCATCCCAATGCCCTGGGCCTAAATCATGTTCCCTTTGGTCATGTGGCTTCCCTTTGTGACGCCACTGCCACTGTGCCTAGCTTTCCTGTGGGGTTGGTCGGCTTGCTCAGAAGCCTGGGACTCCTGTCTAGATATGTGTTGCATGCTGGCCTCCAGGGTGTTCCTCAGGTTTCCTGTTGGTGTGCGGATGGCCGATTGGGGTTAGCACGTCAGTTAGATTTTCTTTTTTCTTTTTTTTTGTTTTACGAGACAGGGTTTCTCTGTGTAGCTTTGCGCCTTTCCTGGATCTCGCTCTGTAGACCAGGCTGGCCTCGAACTCACAAAGATCCGCCTGCCTCTACCTCCCAAGTGCTGGGATTAAAGGCATGTGCCACCACCGCCTAGCTGTCAGTTAGATTTTCTAAGCTGGGTAGAGGAACTGTGAAGATCTGGCTCAGAGTGAAAACATAATGTTTGCCAAGTGGCATAAAGACAAACTGGAATAATAATAATGAAAATCTTGGTGTTCTTTGATAAGGAAGGACACTATAGATAAAACAAGCTTCTCCAACCTTAGAGAAAGGAAACAGAGCAGGGCAGGGTTTTGAGCGTGTCTTATTTTTTTAGCAAATCTTTGGAAAGTGTTGAGAAGCTCCTGTGTTTGTAGGGGACTCTCAAGGATATGGCCTGGAGGCTGGCGGATGGCGTCATACAGTGTTCATTCAGAAGAAACATCACCCTGCCTGGGGTTAGGAACAGATTCGTGTTAAACGAAAGCTACTACATCTTCCTAGCAGCAGGTGCTGCCCACGACGGTAAGCACTTGGGTTAAATCTGTCTTTGCACATCGTCCTTTTTCTCTCTTCCTCTGGCCTCTCCCATGCAGATACCACTGCAATTGCTCATTTTGAGTTATGGAAGGGGTTCTCTTTTGATCGTGAGTTACGTTTCTGGCTTAACTTTCATACAAAGAATGTCAGCCAGGTTACAAGGCAGCATTGCTTCTGATTTCAAAGGTGCCTGTTTGGTACAATGAATTTGCACCAGAACTGTAAGCACCTTACAAGAAGTTACGTATGTCTTTGGGCTTTGCTGCACTTTCCTAGGAACAGTGCCTTTTGGATCGTTGCAAGAAATACCAGCTCTAATCTATACTGGACAATCTATCCAATCTGGGTCTGGTCTCCTTGGACATGAGCTTCTCCAGGAGGTAGAGTACCAGCCCTGGCAGTGATTCATGCTAGAAGGCGCTTGTGTCTGCTTGCTCTGCTGCATCATTTCCTAAGTAAACGGATGCCCTGGGATCCCAGTATACTTTAGGAATCTGAATGTTTGTTTTGTTTTGAGACAGCTCACTATGTAGCCCTGACTGGCCTTCATGACACTTTCTGTAGATCAGTCTGGCCTTGAACTCATAGAGAGCCACTCATCTGTCTACTGAGGGCTGGAGTTCAAAGTGTGCGCCGCCCTGTGCAGCCTCATCTTCCTTTCCGTCAACAGTATCTTCTGTATCAGCAGCTTTGCCATCTTGTTTACTTCTAACATCATCTGTGACACTTCTGTGCTCTGAATTACCAAACACTTAATTGATTCTACTGACATTTCCTTTCTGGTTTTATAGATTACTGATTTAGTTTGCTTCTCTGATGCTCTGAGCAAAAGCAGCTTGCGGGAATGAAGGGTTCTGTTTGGCGGGTTACTGTCCATCATCAAGAGGAACCGAGGTGGGAGCTGGAGGCAGGAACCGAAGCAAAGACCATGGGGGAACACTGCGTACTGGCTTGCTTCCTCTGCCTTGCTCAGCTACTTATGTACCCCAGGACTACTTGCCTAGGGATGGTACCACCCACAGTGGTCTGGGCCCTACCACATCAACCATTAATCAAGAAAATGACCCAGAGATGTGTCCAAAGGCCAATCGGATGGTGGCAATTCCTCATTTGAGATTCTTTCTTTCTAGGTGACTCCAGTTTGTAAAAACTAACCAGTACAGTTACATTTAGTTGTTTTAACTAAACCACAAATTAAATGATCGCTTCAATCCTTTGTCTTTACTGTGATTGCATCCAGGTGTTTTGAAGTATCTTCATTGTTAGCATCTCTAAGAAGACTTGTGATTTTAGTTTTGATTTCCTGTTTAAACCAATAGCTTAAAAAAATAGTGTTGGGGCTGGAGAGATGGCTCAGCTGCTAAGAGCACTGGCTGCTCTTCCAGAGGACCAGGGTTCAATTCCCAGCACCCACATAGCAGCTCACAACTGTCTATAACTCCAATTCCAGGGGATCTGACACTCTCACACCAATGCACATAAAAAAAAACCCGAATAAAATTAAATAAATTATTAAAAAATAAAAAATAGTGTTATAATATCTAGTTGGATTATCTTCCCTCTTTTTATTTTTTCATTTTGTTATACAGATAATATAACCTGTATCTTTCATAAATTTTTAAAAGTTAATTTAGTTAATTCAATTATTATTATTTGTGTGTGTGCAAGTTCTATGACTCGCTGAGACATTCGCCCCCTCCCGCCACTGCCTTTTGAAATTACTGTGATATAGTCTGGTTATAGTCTGGTGCCTGATAGCTAGCATTTGTTTTCAACAAAAGTTTATATATCTGTTAAGTTTCTTAACTGTTTTTGTGCTCACATATTTTTCTAAAAATATGTTTTTGTATGTCCTATAATTTATTCTATTCTAGTGATGGACATTTAGTTTACATTTTCTCTTTAAACAATATAAAAATGTTGCAGTGAATATTCTTGTGCCTATATTTTTGGTTCATTGTGCAGAAGAGGAGGCAGAGAGATTGTAGGAGCCAGAGGAGGTGGATGACTTCAAGGAAACAGCATCTTCCAGCCACAACAGGGCTGATGATGTATGAACTCACAGAGACTGTGACAGTGTGCACAGGCGTGCACAGGTTCAAACCAAACAAAATCCCGTCAAGGAGAAGGGGAAGTGGACATGGAGTCCTAGTTCTAACCACAAAGCTATTTGCAATTGATACCTGCTGGGAAAGGGAAAATAGGTTTTCTCCAATGCAGAGTTACTAGGTATATCGACCAGATGCTGGGGTTTAAAAAGTTATGTTACCTGTAGAGTAGAGTGAGCACATACACACATATATACACACACTTGGAATAGTCCCATATTTTCCTGATTTGATTTCATGTACAACAAATAGTAATAAAAGACACAAATAAGGCCAGACATGGTGGTGCATGCCTTTAATCCCAGCACTAAGGAGGAAGTGGCAGCGGCAGGGCAGGTGCAGGTGGAGTTTGGGGCTAGCCTGGTCTACATAGTGAGACCCTAGCTCAAAAAACAAAACAAAACAAAACAACAAAACCCGAAAGAATGAAAGAAAGGGAAAAAATAGAAAAAAGATAATGTTTTCTCAGTTTTATAAAAAAGTTGTTTTAGATTTCTTTTTTGTTATTTTGCATGTTTGGGTGTTTTTCTTGTGTGTGCCTGGTGCCCTCAGAAGTTAGAAGAGGGCCTCAGGTTCCCAGGTCCTCTGCAAGAGCAAGCGCTCTTAAGCACCAAGCCAACTCTCAGCTCTTCTGTAGCTGGAGTTTTCCTGCCTGGCCCATAGTCAGGACAAATCTCTCTCACCTGCCAGTCCCACAGCCGCTCAGACCCAACCAAGTAAACACAGAGACTTATATTGCTTACAAACTGTATGGCCGTGGCAGGCTTCTTGCTAACTGTTCTTACAGCTTAAATTAATCCATTTCCATAAATCTATACCTTGCCACATGGCTCGTGGCTTACCGGCATCTTCACATGCGGCTTGTCATGGTGGCGGCTGGCAGTGTCTCTCTGACTCAGCCTTCCACTTCCCAGCTTTATTCTCCTCCTTGTCCCGCCTACACTTCCTGCCTAGCCAATGGCCAATCAGTGTTTTATTTATTGACTAATTAGCAACACATTTGCCATACAGAACATCCCACAGCACTCTTCCCTTAGTTTCTTTATGTCACTGGTATACGAGACTCTGATTTGTTACTTCAACCCAGTCGGAGCTGCCCGTCCGACAAATTCTGTATCATCAAAATGCTTTTCTTAGCTGTCTACGCATGGTCTTCCCAGGCCCAGTGTCTGCGAGCATATCCTGGGATTTTAGAACGCAGGCGTGGTTAAAAGGCTGATAGGTTTCCATTACATCTGTCAGTGTTGGAGAAGCACAGTGGGTATCTCCAGTGACTGGTCATCAGCCATTATTTTGACATTGTTTAACCTGTTAATTGCACACACTGGTTCTTTTCACTTTAACCCTTCCATTCCCAGTCCTTGTTTTGATTCATCTCGTTGTTGGTTAAACTATTTCCTTGATTTTCAGGAAAGTCACTGTATCTTTGTGTTGCTTCTACATGTGGATGTCAACTCTTCCTAGCCGATAATGTTTCATTACTGTAAGATGTTTTCTTTCTATTCTGTGTCCACCTCTCAGGCCGAATTTTTAGGCACTCTCAGCAACCTTTGATAACGTACGAAAAATACGATGTGACAGGCACGCCAAAGAACGTAGGGGGGTCCCACTCATCACCCCTTTTAAAGGCTCATGGTGAGTTAACAGAGCATCATTATCACGTTTTGTGGGATGTACTAATCAGTGAGCAGGCGCTGGCTGGATCAGGCACGGTGGCAGGAGTCACCCTGCAAATGTTCATGTTTCTTTTATCTTTCAACATTAACATTTTCAAGTAGATTGTCTCTCTGAATGTTTGTCAGTTTTTATTAAAAGAGGAAAGGAAATCTCATTCAGTGGTACAAACACCGGCGACACATTAAAATCAGCAGTGGGAATTTTAAATTCATTTGGGTTGAGTATTACTGGATGAATGAAGTTAATGCTTTTGAATCCTTGATTTTTTTTTTATTAAAATAAATGCTAATTCAAAAGCGATGTGTGGTTTTGGTTGTTTAGTTGTAACAGCAGTTTGGCTTCACAAATGTCGTTTCACTCTTGTGTTAGTATTTCAGCACAGGAAGTACTCAGTGCAGTGCTTAGGTTTTGGCTATTTGGATGAAGAATGTCACCCACATGGGAGGATAGTTGCTTGGATAAGGGATAAGGGGCTCTTCTGTGCTTTGGGTCTACCAATGGAAGTTGATTCTACTTGCAAAGTGCACTGGCTTACACTGAAAAGCTAGGACTCAAAAGCAGGAACACATGCAAACTGACCGTTACCACACGTTAGCCTCTCGGGGATTTTTCTCACCACATTCCCCTTACGTTCTCCAGAGTTCTTTGTGGCGATGGCTTTCCAGGATTATCACCACAGCTCCCCTTGAAAGCCACTTTTCCTGTCTTCGGCTGGACTCTGCTCCTGCTGCACCCCCAGTTGGGCAGGAATGAGATTCGGAAGTCACACGTCTTCTTACCTTTCATTTGTTGTTTGGAGTGAGATTATGGGAGAAGAGAGCTGCAGACAGGCTGCTGGAGAAAGATGGTTACCACGCAGTGCCTGTAGTCAAGCTGTTTGAGTGCTGCTCTGTGCCTTTGTTTCCCCATTCAGCCAATTGGGACACTATTAATACCCATAAACAATGGCAAAGGCCACTTGGACTAATACATGTAAAGCACTTGGGGTGTCTCGTAATGGCTAGGGTATGGCCTTGCTGGCTGTTAGCAGCAACAGTGGTGGTATAATAAGAACTATGATAAATTGTGTGTGTGTGTGTGTGTGTGTGTGTGTGTGTGTGTGTGTGTGTGTGTGTGGCGGGGAGGGAGATCATATTTCTGTCACTTTAATGTAGTTTGCTGGTTGTTTATATTTTCTGAGCACTGGGTTTGGCCATTGATGAAGGAGCTAACTTACTCTGTGATATGAATCACTACTACATCTTTCCCTCCTGCAGGTGCCTTAATGTTTGTGGCATGGATGACCACAGTTAGCATAGGAGTGCTGGTTGCCCGGTTCTTCAGATCTGTGTGGTCCAAAGCTTTCTTCCTCGGTGAAGCAGCTTGGTTTCAGGTAGGTGACAGAAAAGGCTTAAAGCCATTTCTGTGTTATTCAAACGCTGCAGCGTGAAGTTTGTGTGCTTTTGATTTTACATAATTCTGTGTGTGTGTGTGTGTGTGTGTGTGTGTGTGTGTGAAGTCAGAGGACATCTTTTGGGAGTCAGTTTTCTTCTACCATGTGGGTTCTGGGATCACTCACTCATGTCAGCAGGCTTCCCAGCATGTCCATTTACCCGCTCAGCCATCTCTCTGGCCCACATGTGCTTTCCTTTTTTCAATTACAGCTATTGCAGGTCTTAGATCCCCTCCCCTCCCCCCAGTTTCCTAAGCAGCTGAGAGCCAATGCAAGATCCCTTACAAAGTCTGGCTTGGTGATTTTGGAGAACGTATCAGGGTCAAATGACCCTTCCTGACCCCTAGGTTTGTAGTGGGAGAAGCTGAGAGAGGTTCACTCACGGCACTAAGTCACTTTGAGGTATGGAGGGCTGGCAAACAGAAGAGAGAAATGGCGGTGCTCACGGCATGTCTGTCCTCTGCTTGGTGAGCCCGTGAGAGCTGGACTCTCCCTACTTAACAGTCAAGGTCGTCTGATTATGTGTGGGAAGAGAAACTGGAAGTGCTCTTTTCCATGCTGAGCTTTCCTGTGGATGGGAAGTCGGGGTCCTACAGAACACAGTGAGGGTCAACAAAAGCCTTTCACAGGAAGGCAGAGCAGCCTTGTCTCCATGGGCTGTAGATGATGGGAATTTGCATATGTAGGGAGCCACCAGTAAGGGTGTGTCATGAAAATGAACACATCTGCATTTTAGGAAAATGGAGGCATTGTGACCTCATCAGAGAGTGCCCTTCACTCTTCATAGTCATATAAACGTATAGATTTGAGGTTTCTCTTATCTTACCTCATTTCCCTTATCTTACCTCATTTCTCTTCTTGGTTGACACAGTTATCTATTTTATTTACTCTCTTTAAAAACACTTCTAGCTAGGTGGTGGTGGCGCATGCCTGTAATCCCAGCACTCAGGAGGCAGAGGCAGGTGAATCTCTGTGAGTTCGAAACCAGCCTGGGCTCTTGAGTGAGTTCCAGGAAAGGCACAAAGCTATACAGAGAAACCCTGTCTCGGAAAAAAACCAAAAACCAAAAACCAAAAAACTTCCTAAAAATTATTGTATTATTATTTTTTTAATCTGTATGGTCATTTTGCTTGCATGTGAGTCTGCATCACGTGCATGCCTGGTGCCTGAAGAGGCCAGTAGAGGGCATTCAGATCCCTTAGAACTGGAGTTATAGATAGCTGTGAGCCACCATGTGGGTGCTGGGAATTGAAGCTGTGCCCTCTGCAAGAGCAGCCAGTGCTGAGTCATTTCTTCAGTCACTTAGTGAGTCTCTTGTATGCTATGCGTCGATTCTGTCTGTCTTTGCCTGTGACTCGTTATCTCTCATGCCTGTTCATGTTATCTTTCTCCTCCTCCAATCTGCTCTGTGGATTTTCCAGCTGGAAGACTGTGTCCTTTATCAGTCCAAGCCTTCTACTAGTTTCTATTCTTTAACATTTATTTACTTATGTATGTGTGTGGGGGGGCACTACACAGTCATGTGACTGTTCATGATGTGTGCATGTGTTATGCTCAGCTCATGGGAACCCCCAAAAGACCACCATGGAGATCGAATCCCACATGTAAAAGCAAAGAGCCTTTATTCTTTTCAAGCTCCGAGTTTGGTCTATCTGTCTGTCCAATGCAGCGGTGAGAGCAGAGGGCCCTGAGCTCAGTTGGGGCAGAGTTTTTAATCATAGCAGAGGTTGGGGTGAGGGGATTTCCAGGGTTCAGGACCCTGATTGGCTGACAATTGTCTTGGGGTATCTGTATAGCAAAAATAGGTGTGTGCTAGACTCAAGGACATCTGGCCACCTTATCTAATGGTTGGAATGTTTGGGATGTCAGGTACTTCCTCATCCCTGGGTGGATCCCTGGGTGGATCCCTGGGTGGTATGAGCTTAAGGCTTTTCCTGGATCTGGGTGTTGCCTGCCAGTAAGCCTGTCACAGAAGCTGTGTCTAGGCCCCTAAGCCTGTCATGGCTGCTGTGTGGTCAAGCTGTTTTGGGTCCGTCCACACATGGGGGAGTGTGTACCATAGTGAGCATGTGTGGAGGTCAGAGGACAATTTTGTGGAGTTGATTCTCTCTTTACAAAGTGGGTGTGCGATATCCGTTCCTGCTGCTGTGAAGAGACAGAGCCTACCAGGAACTGAACTCAACATCATCGGCCTTGTGCACCAAGTGCTTTTATCCACTGAGTCATCTCATCTGTCTTTCTGCTGTTCTTCAGCATATGTTATTGATGTGTATGTATGTTCGTGACAGTCACACATTCACAGAAACTTATAGGGTCACTATCTATTATACTATATATCATATAGCACAACCTTTTCCTGGAACAATTTTGACTTAAACCAGTTGCCCAATACATAACAGTGCCCATTTTCATTCTTAATATTTTCTTGATCTTCCACAAAGAATTATATGTTCCATATAGTGTTCATTTATCTTTTCTGATTATACGACAAGCCCCACAGGATACAGTGTTTTTTCTTTCCTTGCTGTCTCTCACTCTGCATGGTGACAGAGCTTAATACATACCTTTGGAAGGAAGCGAAGGTCTTGGCAAGTGAGCGAGCTTTGTGTGTGAGCGATCCATGCTTGCGGTAGGGAGTAGGCGAAGCCTTAGTGAGCCCTTTTGAATGATGAGATGACAGCATGGGGTTTTCTTGAGCTTAATGGTCTATGACATTTTACTTTTACTGTTTGGATGTAAGTGGAATGCATACCTCCGGTGAATCTCCCATGATTGCCCTGCTGTGACACCAGGTGTCTTTTATAAAGCTAGTCATCTTCTCCCCTTGCCGTCTCCCCTCGCAGGTGCATCGGATGCTCATGCTTGCGACATCTGTGCTCACCTGCATTGCCTTTGTTCTTCCTTTTGTGTACAGAGGAGGCTGGAGTCGGGTAAGTGTGCCTGCGACAGGATGTCTCCCTGAAAATCTGTTTTGATGTCAAAGCAGACTGCTACTTTATTCTCAAAGGTGGATAATGAGACATTTCTGTGTACATCCTTTTTTCCTTGACTTATCTGATGACTTCACCTGGTCGGGGATCTGGACTGAAGGGAGGCTGTGAATACAGATTGCCTGGTACTGAAATGTGTTTTTAGGCCATATCTCATTTCTTGCATTCCTTTAGTGAGTGTGTTTTCCTTGTAGAATGTTGAAATTTGAAGTATGATGTCTAAAATTTATTTATTTATGCATTTATTTATCTTTGTTTGTTTTTTTTAAGATAGGGTTTCTCTGTTTAGTCCTGACTGTTTTGGAACTTTTTCTGTTGACCAGGCTGGCTTTGAACTCAGAGATCCGCCTGCATTTGCCTCCCGAGTGCTGGGATTAAAGTCATGAGCCATCATAGCGCAGCTATTTTTGTTATTTTAATGATGTGTATGTGTATTTGTGTGGATCTGTGTAACTCCAGCTCCAGGGGCAAGCATAGTGGTTGTGAGGTGCCTGATGTGGGTGCTGACTGAAGCTGGGTCCTCTGGGAGAGAGCAGCAAGCACTCTTAACCCCTGAGCCATCTCTCCATCCCAAGTGTGATGTCTAAGAAACAGGACCCATTAAAGTGGTTTTCTCTTATGATTATCATTAAGCTAGTAGAACTCGCCTCAACGCTATATGAGCAGTCTTGCTAAGTGCTGTATATATACTATCAATTTTTTAAAAAGTAATTGAAATATAATAATTACATCAGTCCCCTTTTCTTCCTTTATTCCCTTTAGCCCTTCCCATGTTTCCTCACTCTGGCTCTTCACATTCCCCCTCACTCCTCAAATTGATGGCCTTGTTGTCTTTGATTATTAGTCTCATTCTCTCTCTCTCTCTCTCTCTCTCTCTCTCTGTTTCTCTCTCTCACACACACACACCACAAACATAAAAATAATAATATAACCTTCTGTGTTCATTTAGTGTTGCTTGAGTACATATAACTTTGGAGTTGATACTTTGCGTTGGATAACCAATTAGGGGACTCGTCCCTGGGAGAGACTAATTCTTCCTCTCTCAGCAGTCAGTAGTTACCTGTGGTTCTTTGTCTACGGGTGGGACTTCACGACATTTCCCCCTTCTGTGTTAGCATGCTTGTGGGTGGTGGTGGTGTTCAAGTCTTAGTCAGGCTGAAGGTAGTTTCTATGTCATCTCTAGGACACACAATCTCACAGCCGACTTCCTGGTCCTCTGGCTCTTACAGCCCTTCTGTGCGCTCCTCCGCAATGTATGGTTTTACATTTGATTTCAATTGGCAGGCAAGGCTGACTATTAACGATGCCCTTTGTTCAGCGCGCAGGCTACCACCCGTACCTCGGCTGTACGGTGATGACTTTAGCTGTCCTTCAGCCTCTGCTGGCCACCTTCAGACCATCTTTACATGACCCGAGGTACGGACAGCTCTTACACAGAAATGCTCTCAGTGTGTGTGTGTCATTAGATGGGCAACCAATTTCTTTTCAAAGTAGAAACACTTTGCATTTTGTAGCACGCAGTGATTGATTGTGTTTGCATCCAAGGACTTTAAAATGGGTTTCAGATACCCAATTCCCCGGCAATAGGGAAATTGCATGCTTCTTACTCTCTCGGGGATAAATTGCTATTGCATCACTTTAAAGACTAGCCGCTGCTTCTTTCTTTTGGTAGGAGGCAAGTGTTTAACTGGACTCACTGGAGTGTGGGGACAGCTGCTAGAATAATAGCAGGTAAGTCCCTGCAATGCCACTTACTCATATATAATTGCTGGTTGTTTACAGTGAAAGTTGTAATTTGGCTTAAATGATTTTAGATGCATTAGTAATTGGAGTAATTGGTTGTTGAGGAGAAATCAGCCTGAAACATTGAAATCCAGAAAGTAATTTCTACAAGTAACTATTTAAGTCATTATTTAAGCTTCAAGTTTTAAAAAATGACTTTAAAACTTTAAAACTCAGCCCTTTCTTTCCCATTTCCCTGCATCTGCCTTTGCAAACAAATGAGGTTATGGTAATGACTACACACAAGGACGGCAAGTGAGGTCCCAGGGCGAGGTGGATGGAGTGTGCTGGTCCCAGGGCGAGGTGGGTGGAGTGTGCTGGTCCCAGGGCGAGGAGGATGGAGTGTGTTGGTCCCAGGGCGAGGAGGATGGAGTGTGCTGGTCCCAGGGCGAGGAGGATGGAGTGTGCTGGTCCCAGGGTGAGGAGGATGGAGTGTGCTGGTCCCAGGGCGAGGTGGGTGGAGTGTGCTGGTCCCAGGGCGAGGAGGATGGAGTGTGCTGGTCCCAGGGCGAGGAGGATGGAGTGTGCTGGTCCCAGGGCGAGGTGGGTGGAGTGTGCTGGTCCCAGGGCTAGGAGGATGGAGTGTGCTGGTCCCAGGGCTAGGAGGATGGAGTGTGCTGGTCCCAGGGTGAGGAGGATGAAGTGTGCTGGTACAAGCCCTCTGGCTCCAGCCCATCTCCCGACTGTCTGTCCTTGTAGGGCAGCTGGTCTCCAGAGGGCAGCTGGAATTATCTGACACAGTTTTTCTTTTCAGTACCGGGGACTCAGTCCCCGGGGCCTCAGAGAACACTAGCACCCACCGAGCTGCATCCCCAGACCTTTTATACTTTTTATTTTGAGACTAGGTCTCACCAGTTTGTCAAGACTAGCGTTGAGCTAACTCTGTAGCTCAGATACTCTTTGAGCTTGTGGTCCACCTGCCTCAGCCTCCCGAACAGCTGGGTATAGAGGCCTGCACCAGGCACATCTGTTTGACTCCGAGGGAGGCACCTGTCACCTTACATTCTATTGCTTGTGGGATTAAGTGCGGGATGAGTGTAAGGTCAACAGTCATTTCTTCATTTCTCCCCTTTTTCTTCATTGCAGACTTACATTTCTGGAAAGGTACCTTTGTGGTTGTTATGGGTATCGAACCCAGGGCTTTTTAGGCCTGCTGGCTAGTGCTCTACCCCTGAGCTGCATCCCTAGTTCATGGGTGCTTTCTTAGCAATTCTTAGATCCTAATTTCCTATCTTGTCTTATGTAGTCTTACAATAAGGAAGATCAGATTATCTCAGCCCCCAAGATTATTCTTTCCATAAATGTTTAATATATTCTAGTTAATGTAATGCATCAATTATTCTTTTTCCTGGGCACTATATTTGAGTACATTTTATTTCCCCTCTTTTCTCCATAGTGGCAGCCATGTTCCTAGGAATGGATTTACCAGGACTGAATCTCCCCAGTCCACAGAAGACCTATGCCATGATGGGGTTTGTGGTCTGGCACATCGGGACGGAGGTGCTTCTGGAGATCCATGCTTATCGGCTCTCTCGAAAAGGTACCCAGCTTGAAAAGTCTTACTGTGGGGCCGGAGAGATGGTGCAGGGTATGCGTTTGCTGTGCAAGCATGAGGATCTGAGTTCAAATCTCCATGTGAAAAGTCGGGCATGATTATGTGTGTCTGTGACCCCAGGGCTGTGCAGGAATAGAGACAGGAGGAGGGATGGCTGGGATTTGCTGGCTGCCAGCCTAGCTCCAAGTTCAGTGAGAGACCTTGGTTGAAGGAAATAAGGCAGAGAGTGTCTCTGTGTGCTTGCACATGGCATGTGTGTGCACGCACACCCCATCCCACCCAGGTGCAGAAAGTCTGCGACATTTAGTAGCGTGAATGGCCAAATCTACATCCTAGAAAATGGGGACTGTTAGGATTCAAGTTTTATCTTCTTTTTGTGACAACTAGTTTACTTGCATATCCCCATTCTTACAAACATACTTTGTTCTTGACAGTTGAAATATTGGATGATGATAGAATTCAGATCCTTCAGTCACTAACTGTTGCTGAAGCAGAGGTGAGATTCTCCTCTCTTGTTGATCGACACAAATCTTAATGATGATGCTTTCTGCTAAATCTCAGTTTTTATTTCAGGGCCATGTTTTTAAGAAGGCGGTGTTGGTGATTTACATATGTGGGAATCTGACTTTCCTCATGATATTCTTATCTGCAATCAACCAAGTATGAGCAAGCAAAGACTGTTTTTTTGTGGGCCTGGGTCATAATCATCAAAACAAGGAGACCCGGAGCTTGTCCTGACTGCCAGGAATATGTTTTAATTCGGAAGACTCATGGGCATTTCTAAAGAGGAATTCTGAAGTCTGGTTTATCCAGATTATATTCAGCCAGGCCATACCAGCCTGTGCACTGATGTCAATCAAGCCTTTGTGTGTTACTGCATCTTAAAAGGAACATTGTACTTCAGATGACGGGACTCTCAACATCCCATGCCATATTTAAAACAGTTAACTAGAATGATTAACAAATGAAGAGAATTACCTCAGGCAAAGGATAAATGGAGATTGTATCTTTGGGAATGGGACAGATTTTGTGTAGCCCAGGCTGGCCTCCAACTGCTGTGTAACCAAGGATAACCCTGAACCTATCTTCCTGCCTCTGCTTCTGGATGGTGGGATTACAGGTGTGTGCCACTCTATCTGGTTTTAAAGGGACTGTAATTTTCATGATGCTGCTGCTGTGGGAACTTTAAAGAAAACATTTATGTTGACTAGTTTATTTAGAGATCTTAGATTTTAAAAAATTCTTACTACATTTTGATGTTTTTATGAACACACACACACACACACACACACACACACACACACACACACACACTCCAAACAAAGAAAATCTACAAGAAAAAAACCCCATGTTTTCAGTCCTGAGTTTGGGACACGTTCTTTGCTGTGTGTGTTGCATTATTTCTGGTACATTTTGTTAACATTTAACTATATTGTGAATATTACGTTTTCTTTGTTAGCAGTGAAATGCAGTAGGCATCTTCTGCTTAGAGATATCCTTTATTTTTTTCATCTATGGAGCTGAAACGACATTTTGTTTTGTTTCAGCTCTAAGATGAGTCCTTCCTTATAGGAGAGAGAGATCAAAGCCATGAATTCCACATTTGCTAAAACTCACCCTTGTGAGCGTGTCCAACCGGTGCTCTCATGTCTTGTGAGGATAAAATAACATGGACGTGTTCCTTTGGAACATCCCTGGTGCTCTAGTAACTCAACGCAGCCAGTGAGTGATATTTTCCTCTCTACTTATCATTTCTATCTCGATGTTTGCTATGAGGGCTTACAGCCAGTGGGTGGCGCTGTAACACCGGAGGACTCATCTGTTCACCTTAATTTTTTTTTTTAAATGGGGCTATTTTCTTATACTCTATGGCTCTTAATTTTTTTTTTTCCTTTTTGGGTTGGGGTAGTAGGTTCTATAAACTTAAATTAGTGACTGGTGCTACTACATTATGACAATTTAAAAGAAAATAATTTATACCGACTGATATTTTCTTTTATATTCCTCCAACCCTGTAGCAAATGAAGATAATTTTCTTAGGCAAAGGAGACAAACAAAATTGGATATTTAAAAAATAAAAGAATTGGGAGGAGATATATTTTATTTCTTTGAATATTCTTTCCGATTATGATATAGTTTCTGCTTGGCCCCAGAACCCTATTTCTATCTCTGAGTAATGACTTCAGCATCATGTTTTTATTTCTAACAAATAAAGTGAAATTTTCCTTTTATTTTTTTTAAGTAGCTTAGGGTTCAGATAGGCATTTCCTATGTTCATGTTCAATGGGTTCCGTGGTATAGTTTACACTATCCTGTGAGAATGTTTTTATTTTAAAAGGAAAAGGGCTGGAGATGTGGCTCAGTCGTGTGGGGCTTGAGTAGCATTCATGAGACCCTGGCCCTCGTACTAGCATTGGAGAAACAAGACATTCTGAGTAACAATGTAAATCTACATGAAGACATTTTCTTTCGGTTTTCCATTCTGAGCTGCTGAAGGCCAAAACATCTCTCTTAATAAGTCATGTTCAATACCTGACAAGAAAAGATTCTTTTCAGGAAAAGGTGGAATTTACCTGGGTTCTGTTTCCAGATAGGTGAACTTGCTGGATTTCTAGTGCTGAGACCAATATTATAATGTATTCTTTGAAAAGAAATATTTTTATCAATTCTTTAAGGATTTCACATAGTGTATTTTGATCATATTCCCCTCAGCTCCTCTCAGATCGGCCACGACTTCCCTACTTCCAGACTGCATCTTTATATATGTATTATATGATTCTGCTCTAGTTTGTGCGATCTATACACTTCTGGGTTGGGGGCCACCCACTGGGCAGCAAGGTCGATTTATCACAAGCCACACTCTTAAAGAAAACGGACTCACTCCCACCAGAAGCCTGTCCATAGGTCCTCAGGGATGGGGCGCATGGACCTCTTCCAGCTCCACGCTAGAGCGCGGACTGGCTTGATCTTGTGCGGTTTTGTGCAGGCAGCTACAGTGGCCCTGAGTTCAGGAGTGGAGTGGTCCTGTCAACTCCTGAAGACACAGTTTTCACCGTTTCCTTCTTCCCCAGCCTCTGGCTCTTACAGTCTTGGTGCCTCTTCCTCTGAGATGGTCCCCGAGCCTTGGGAGGGGGGTGCCATAGTGGGTCCCACTTATGGCTGAGCACGTCAGACACTTATTCTCTGCACTTTGACCAGCTGTGAGTTTCTGCATGGCACATTCCTTTTTACAGATGGATGCTTGCTCTGGTTTGTTCCTCTGTTGACTTGTGCAAGGAAATCTGTGCCGCTTAATCCTAGTATGCCTGTTGTTTCCCTGAGGAGCACATTACGACCCTTCGGCTCCCTGTGCTTACACTGTCTCCACAAATGACAAACGCTGCTTCTTACCCCTCAGTTTCTGTAATAAACAATCTGGGTAGTTATATATCTATATCTATATCTATATCTATATATATCTATATATATCTATATATCTATATCTATATCTATATATATCTATATATATGTCTCTCTCTATATATATCTTTTGATAAGAACAATTGCTAAGCTCAGTGATTTTTCTGTGTTAGGCGTGTTTTCAAAAACAGTAAAATCATGTTTTCTTCAGGGATGTTCTGTAAAAGAGGGATCAATATGTTTTTCATACAATAAAAAACATAGTCTAGGAAACCCTGGTTAAGGTAGCACGCATAAACCGAGTCTGGGGCTCGGAGGAGATGAAACAGGACACAGGTGGCCTATAACTTGCTGTTGAACATGTGAGTCCTATTCATGTTAGCGCTTCTCAGTTTGTGTCAGGCTTTGGAGCTGGAGGTTGGGTGGCACCTCGCCCTTCCCGTATCCGGCTGCAGCCTAGGAGGCTGTGGGAAGGCTAACACAGCAGATGCCAACCAGGAAGCCGTGGGGGCTGTGTGGCTCTTGGCTGCGAGTCTATTTATCTGCGTATTCTAGTGAAGTAAGGGGAAACAAAGAACAAAGGGCCTTGTTCGAGATAATCCATTATTAATGGAACCAGAGAAACGACTCTTTTAAGTTCTTTATAAGCGGATCAGCCTCCTCACAGCTCCCATGTCCTTCTTCCTTCCTTGTCTAACCCTGCCACACACTCTCCTGTGCCCACAGGCTTGTGCTCACCCACCTGCAGTGCCGCCCTCCACCTGCAGTGCCCTTCTCTTCCCGCCCTGGCCAGAATCGGCAGATTTATGTTTTACTCAAGTTCTTTGGTCTCCCTGGTGCCTCCTTATCTCGGTCCCAACACTGTTCCCTCCTTGCCCTGACTATCTTTGTCAGTGGGTGGTGGGGCAGGAGGCAGATGCTACTGCAGATTAGAAAGGGCCAGGGGCTCGGAGGCCAGAGGAGCCACTTTTGCTCCTGAGTTCCATGCTCACGGTAGGGTCATTTGTGTTCTGTGTCCTCGTCAAAAGTCGATCTCACTAAACTTCGTGAGGGCTGAGCAAAACGAGGCCAGCCTAAGGTGCTTGCTTTGGACATGTTGCTGGTAAGGTCTCTGCCACTTGGTTACAGTGTTAAACTTTAATGGTTTTGCATATGAAATGTGTTTATAAGAATGTGTGACGCTCATCTTGAAAACATTGTGCCACATGAAATAGTCCAGACACAAAGATAATTGATTCTGTTGTGGGACCCAGCAGGGTCAAATGTGTAGAGAATCACGGTAGAATGCAGGTCAGGGGGTGGAGAGCTGATAGCCAGGGGGTGGGAGTTGTTCTTTAAGGAGTAGGAAGTTTGTGTCTGGAGAATGGGTAGCGATGATTGTACAACTTTCTGAATGTATTTAATGCACTTAACTCTGCACTGAAACATGATGAACATGGGAATAAACAAATGAAAACCGAGAACAATGTTCACTGTGGTGCTGTTCATATCAAATGATGAATGGTACAGCCCACACGCCCATCGCCAGACTGTAGAATGTACATGCATGGAACATTGCTCAGCCATACAAAGGAATAAGGCACCGATACCTGCTATAATGTGAATGAACCTTCCAAATATGCTGAGTGAGAGAAGCCAGAGGCAAAGGTTCACTATTGTGTAGTTCCGTGTATATGGAATATTCAGAACAGCTGAATCAGTAGAAACCGGGAGAGTACTGATGCTTGTTAGGGGCTAAGTGGGGGCAGGGTGTGGGAGGCAACTCCTTAGTTGATGTGAACTTTTATTTTGATCTGACAAAATGTATTGGAGCTTGATAGAGGCACAAGATGAATGTCAGGATTGTCCATTTTAAGACAGCTAAATTTCGTGTTGCTCAGGGATTTAAAACGTGGGGTTAAAAAGATCTGGAGGCCATGCTGGCTGTAAACTTAGTTTCAGTTCAGTCGCTTATTTTGTTGTCAAAGAAGTTAATGTGATTATGCGCTGACTGGTCTCTTAACTCTGTTTCGGGGGTGAGGAAGGTCCAAAAGAGTATACTAAGAAATTTGTCTTTTTCATATGACAAATGTGTCACATATAAAGAGAGTTCCACTGCTTCCCTGTGGGGACCTCAGTAACCTTTAGCTTTACATTCAGGCCCTGATAATGGTGATCAGAATAAATTTCCTCAAACCATGGAGTCTAAATATCTGATGTTCATTAGCACTGTTTTTGGATGTTCAAAAAAAAAAAAAAAGTTTTTAGTAAGCCCCTGCCCAGCCCCCACAAACAGACGGACAAACAGCTGGTGTCAACACTGAGACCGTTAGTTTCTAGAGGAAGCAGATGCAGCAAGGTTCTGGTAAGGAGTGCACACTCCGAGGGGAAACCCTCTGTTTTGGAGCCTTGGTTTCCATCACTTCAAATAGTGGCAATCAGCGTGCTGCCGAGTGTCAGGGACCCCGCGGAAAACTAGCAGGTTTTCTGGTCTAGAAACCTGAGGACTCATGGCCTGGAAAGCAGCAGCTCCCAAGGAGAGGTTGAGAAGATCCTTCGGAAAAACGTTTGGGGGAGGGGGACCCTAATTCCTGCCTGCGCAAATGAATCTCTGGTTGGCTCCTGACGTGGAAGCACTCGTTGCGAGCCCTATGATAATGTCACACTTTGGAGGTGAATGACCGAACACTTCTCCCTGAGATGCAGTCCAGGAAAAAGAGCGTCTGGCCTCTCCACTTTGTCCCGTGTAGTTGAGGCTGAAGGAGGAGCACATGGGTGCCACAAACTCTTTCGTAGACAGACCTAAGAGACCCACGAACCAACCAACTGGGGCCACCAGAAAGCTGGTGGGGAACACAGCCGTTGCTTGGAAACCAGCAGCATCTCTCTATGGTAGTCATGAGCATGAAATCTGAAAAATACAGTTCCCTTCACAATAGCGTCAAAAAACTAAGAATGCCTTTAACAAAAGAAACACAGGACTACATGGAAAACTTCGGAAGTCCTGCTGGAAGCAATCAGAGGATCTAATGGACTGGAAGTAAACACTGTGTTTTTGGATCAGAAAACAGTAAAAGTAGCAATGTTTCTCAAATAGCTCTACAGAGTCAACACAGTCACGGCCAGGCTGCCAGCTGTCGCTTTTTGTAGGAATTGGTTAAACTGACCCTAAACTTTCTTTTAAAAATACTTTAGCCAGGCAGTGGTGGCACACTCCTTTAAATCCCAGTACTGGGGAGGCAGAGGCAGGCAGATCTCTGTGAGTTTGAGGCCAGCCTGGGCTACCGAGTGAGTTCCAGGACAGGCTCCAAAGCTACACAGAGAAACCCTGTCTCGAAAAACCACAACAAACAAACAAACAAACAAAAAACAACTTTAGATATGTATATAAGTATGTTGGTATGTGAATGTGCACGTGGATACCCACCCAATGAATCCCCCTGGAACTGGAGTTACAGGTTGTGAACTGTCTGATGTGGACACTGGTAATCAAACTCAGGTCCTTTTAACTATGGAATTATCTCTCCAGCCCCTTACCTTAAACTTTCTATGCAAATATAAGGGACCCAGCATAGCCAAAATGCTACGAAAGAAGGACTGTGAGGGAGAACACACACTTCCCAATATTAGAACCTGTGAAACCACAGTAATACAGGCAGCGTGATCTGGGTACAAGGATAGGTATTGGTTAACTGAACACAATGAGTTCAGAAGTAGAGTTTCACATTTATGATCATCTAAAAAAATTACTTTATGGTGGGTGTTTTTCCTGATGTATGTCTGTGTACCACGTACATACCTGGTACTGGGCAGAAGATGGTATTTGAGTCCCTGGAACTGGAGTTACAGAAAGCTGTTACCCTCCATGTGGGTGCTGGGAATTGAACCCAGGTCCTTTGCAATAGCAGCCAGTTCTCTTAACTGCTGCCATCTCTTTAGCTTGTATAAACACTCTTCAAAGGCACTAAGGTAATCTAAAGAAAGATTATGTGACATTTTCAAAGAGAGTGCTCAGAAAGCCATGTCTATATGCAGCAGGATGACTTTAGACCTTTGCTTCACACTAGAGAAAGATTCATTCAAATTTGATCATAGACCGTAGATGAAAACATAAAACTAATTTTCCTGGCTTTGAATTAAACATTAATTTCTTAGATAGAACATCAATAGCATAAAAGATGAAAGAAAAAACCGAAATAGAAAAATTTTCTGCTTCACATGACAATATCAGGACTCTAAAGACCCAGTAGGCATGGCGGTTCATGCCTGGAATTCCAGTATTTGGGAGGGTAAAGTATGAGTATGGCTTGAATTCTAGGTCATCCTGGTTACATTGTATGATCCTGTCTTTGTTAGGGTTACTATTGCTGTGATGAAACACCATGACCAAGAGCAGGGAAGGGAGGAAAGGGTTGATTTGGCTCACACTTCCACATCACACTCCATCACTGAAGGAAGTCAAGACAGCACTAGCAGGTCTGGAACTTGGAAGCAGAGTTGATGCAGAGGCCATGGAGGGGTGCTGCTTACTGGCTTGCTTCTCACGGCTTGCTCTAATAAAAAGAGTTCACACTGCTCTTTTCAATAGAACCCAGGACCACCAGCCCAGGGATTGAATCACCCACAATGGGTTGGGCTTTTGAGGAATACTCCTTTACACTGTGTGAAGATGTATTCCTGTGATTGGCTTAATACAGAGCTGAGTGGCCAATAGCTAGGCAGGAAGAGGTTAGGCGGGACTTCTGGGGACAGAGAGGACTCAGAGAGGAAGAAAGGTGGGATTGCCAGTCAGACTTGGAGAAAGCAGCATGAGCAGTATGGAGAGATGAGGTAATGAACCACACAACAGGACACAGATTAAAATAAATGGGTTAATTTAAGTTATAAGAGCTAGTGGGACAAGCCTAAGCTAAGGCCAAGCTTTCATAATTAATAATAAGTCTCCATGTCATTATTTGGGAGCTGGTGGTACAGAGAAAGACTTGATACTTGGGCCCTCCCCCATCAATCACTAATTAAGAAAATGCCCTACAA